GCATGTTGTGCATTCTGGCATGCTTTTGTCCATACCTTGGCTGTAACAAGTAGTTATTTGAATAACTGTTGCCTTCCTATCATAAGCAGTCTGGTCATTCTCTGATGCCAAACAAGATATTCTCACTGGTTATGTCATGTTCAAAGTTGCTTAAATCACATATTTACCTCCCATTCTGATGCTCGCTTTGAACTTCAGGTCCTCCTGAACATGCCTAACTCCACTGAGTTGCTGCCATGTATTTAGCTGATTAGATATTTGGATTAATGAGCCACTGAACACGTGTACCTATCAAAAACGGCCGATTGGTGTCTGTGCAAACATACAATTCACCCCACTGAATATCAAGCCAGACTAAATTAACTACTAGCCTCAGAAATTCTTGGTGTGACGATGACTGACGAAACTGATCACACTCTCACCACTGAGGGATCTTATCTTGAGTGCAGTGACAGCTGAAAACCACCACATCAAGCCTCAAGTCATATTTTATGAACTATACAGCATATTATTCTTTCATATCACCAAAAGCCACAATGACACTCAAGGAATATGTTGGACTGAAAAGAATCAAACCAGCCTAAAAAAATAAGGTCATATACGGTATAATGTTTTCTTCCTTAACAGTGTGTTAAAAGATTTAAAAGCGGGTTTGCAAAAGCAACGAGAAATGTCAAACTTTAATGAAAGAGGGATTGTCTGCATGTGTTTCATCCAGTGGACTGAAAACTTTCTCTGCCCTGCACAGGATGAAAATGCAGAAAACCGACACGCTGTCGCAAAAGCAGAAACATTAGGAAACAAACTGCACAAGCCGCATGGCCTTCATGGCCCCCCGTCTGAGTGAAAGTCTGTATTTGACAGGTGTGGTCGGACGTGTGCTTTGCCACACTCGAAACTGCAGAAGCGTGGCCTCACACACACTGACACATGCTGGTAAATCTCTGCAGCGAGGTCAGAAGTCCAACAACTACAATGTTTCACAATGGTATGAAGGGGTGATTCGTGAAATTACGACAAAATGCCTGCGTAAATCAGCGTTATCTCTGGTTAGGTTGCTACAAATTTATTTCCTATTTAGACATGTAGCAGATGTGAATTGACTTGGAGTTACTCTATATTAATCTGACAGCCGTTCACTGTGCCTGCAGGTGCATAGTGGGGGTTTAAAACTCTTTCAATAAAAACAGATTAATACAGCAGTGAGCGTGAACCTAAACAGTAAAGCTACATCAGAGAAGAAGAGTGAGTTCACTACGAGCAACATTTTTCCCGTTAGCCATAGACTGATTTGATATAAACATGTTGATTATAGCAGTTGCAAGTAAATCCTAACAAGTTCTGGTGGCACGCCTGGTCTTGTAACACTGAAAAAATAATAATGTCCTCATAGGAACTTTTACACAGATCCATTTAAATGTAATTCCCACTCATTCATCATGTATTATTTCATGCATTACAAGGTCTAATTCAGAGCAGAATCGCGTGTCACAGGTGAGTGTTGCACAAAGTCTACCCAGCCACTTCTACAGGAGTAATGTAATGTGGTCACAGACCCAAGCTGTTCTCACAATAAATGCATTACCAGGTGAAATATTCATGCAGGTGGGTCAATGTGTTGCATTTTTAATGGAATATAATGGATTTATTACATGATATTAAGCTCTGTGATATCACTCCATCATCTTAGCATGCACCAAGGTTCACCAGTAAACACGCTTGATGGGCGGCACAGCTCATTCAAAGGCTGAAACATGTTTGTGTTGTTTTGGTTTTTAATTTATTTTCGTCTGTCATACAGGAAGTTAGACACCTGATTTATTTATGTGCTTCTCATATTGCAGAGTCTGTTGTCCTCCCTCTGTTGGATCTACTGAAAACCCTTTGTGAGTGCCATCTTATCCATACAGAATACACACGTACAGTACGATTCAGTGCTATTCAGCCTGACACAGAAGTCTATTTAAAATGTGTTGGTGGCCTCATCCCATGATTCACTGAGCGTTTCTTCTTCTTTCACCTTTATTCCACCTACTGTTTATATTTACATACCACTCTGCATTTAATCAGTAGTTATTATTAATCTCCTACTCCTATTGCTACTACCTGTAACTAGTTCTGCTGGCAGTTTCTTCCTGTTTAAGGGGAGTTTTTCCTTCCAGCTATC